TACTAAAGTCGTTCCTGGTCGGCGTAAAGTCCACTTGATATTATAGTATAATTGATAAACTACGGATTTATTGAAGTTATCGTGAGATTTCGCTGATTGTTAAGGAAACGTTGTAAAATAGGCAGTTTATCGAAGTTTGATGACATTATTGTATTCTTTATCGAATGAAATCATTTATCGAAATAATGTATGTACGTATCTATGTTGAATTTTTTCATTTCACGCTCTCGAACAAGGGACAGACTTTGTCTTAAACTTTTGTTCTTTATTAATAAGAAAATCGTTACTTCTACTCTTCTGTCAATCGCGTCTGACCATTGCTCGACGTTTCTACTACTTGGTCCAGGACGAAGGCAGTCGAACTCAACGTACTCAAACGACAACAAGAAACTTCTATCTAGACCTCGATCGCGGAAGTATCGATGATCGTTCCGTCGAAGAAGCGTTATTAATGCATCCAGAAAGAGTTCAGGCGTATTTCGAGCCGTTCTCGCTCAGGGGGACCGGCTAGGCTGAATAATTCACCATGGAAATTCATTTCCACGGACGCGGCTTCCGGTTTACGTCGCGCCGGACGTCACGGACCAGACGCGAAAGGCCGTTTTCGAGTCGACGAATAATTTATTTCGGGTCCGGGGAAAAATGGCGGGTTATTCCATGGCCAACGACGGGCAACGGAATAACGAAGCGGGAGGCGTGTTATGCATCCGCGAGTGAACCGTGTCCACTCGCGTGTACACTACCGACCGAGAAACTATGAGACGAGAGTTTATGATCGATGTTATATACAATAATATTACTCATTATTCCGTTACGAGAACAAATAAGAATTAAATACCTATTTTGAAATGTAATATTCATTTCGGATCATGTATGCACGAGGGGAGAAAAGCAGGGTTAATGCATAATGCAATCGTCGACAGTGTTAACCGACTCTCTCTCTCTCCTGTCGGTCAAGACAATTTTCATTCCATATATCACAATCATGCTCGGTATCCTCGAAGATTCCAAAGAATATTTCCTTCCCCAAGAGCAGAGAGTTACATCCTCCACATTCTCTCTGGTGAAGTGAAATCACCGGAGACGTGTTCTCAGGCCATTAAACAGAGGGATGAGGGGCAGGTGGAAGATGCTCCGTGTAATCGTGACTTTGGAAATAAATTCGGTAGTTCGCAAAAGTGTCGACAACACCCCCCTTTGGTCCGATCTAATTTCCACAGAGTCGCACGACCAGAAAGGATCGTCGGAGCGCATTTCGGTTACCGACGAGAGAAGTGCCTTTTGTAATTCGACTTCCGCGAAGTGGCGCGTTAATTGCGCGAGCTTGCCGCGGACACAGAGGTATCCACGCGTTAAAATCTAATTTCCTCGCGAGCCCCCAAACCCCTTCGTCCCCCATACGGCAAATTGGGACTCTAGCACGCGCGGGATTAAAATGGCTCAAGACGTTTCTGATACACCGAGCCACGGGGACATTTAACGCGATCCTGCGAGTCGCGAGATAAATACGGACGCTCCAGGATGGGATTGGCTGGGAGTTCGTGATGCCATTTGGGACTCGGATTACGGGAAATATCTGGGAGCAGCTTGAGGAGATCGATGGTTAATCGGTGGACAACATGGTTTTCTGGATACATTCAGGAACAGAACGGAATTTCATTCGGTTTATTGTATTTGCTGGGTTCAACGCAGAGATACATGGGCGAATTCGTTATCTGTTCTTTTTTTCTTCGTATGATACAAGTCTAGCGCCAGTTAAAAATCCTTTTTTTACTATTATATTCGAATTATATTTACGTTCGAAATTACGAAACATGATTTCTTACGATCCTCTTGTAGGCAATATTATTAACACCTGAAAGTTAAAAAGGAAGAACTCTTGAAAATCGTAATGTTCCCAAAATTCTGGTTCTACGGTGTATTCGACAAACGTATAAGATCCACATCGTTCGTCAAGTACATTCTGTCAAGGTTCGAACATCGAAAGTGCAACATTTTATAAAGAAGAAAAAGACAGAAATGTGTTACCAGAGACAAAATAATAATTTCTGGATCGATCACTCGATTCAGAGTTCGTTCCATGGTTCTCATCCCTGTCTCATTATCAGTCCATTGGACATGGAATATGTCCAGTGCCCGTTTCCATCCACATAGATACTCGACACACACGTTTATCATCCGTCTCGATACGAGGGGGCCTGATTTCATTGCCGATAAAAAACGCGCGATGGCGGGGCCGCGCAAGTGGAAGTGGAAACGGCCCGCCATTTGTCAGACGTGGGAGAACCCGTTGCGTCGCCGCGAGGACAAGGCTGTCGTTCGGTCGTACGTCAACCGGGGACAAAGGCCGGACCAGCAAAAACACGTTCCTCGTAATTCTTAACGCGCCGCGCACACTACTGCCCCGAAAATTCGCGAAATAATCGCGAGCTACGCTCCCCCGTGGATCGCGATCGTGCTTTATACTCGCGGACAAGACGCGTGTTTCGTAAATTTCGTTAGCAAACGATGGACATTGCGATAAATCTACAGAGGAAAGCTTTAATTTTTATTGTTTTTTCTTCATCGACAAAGAGGAAGATACTTTTTAAATACATAATCGATTTCCATTTTAATATTCATAGACGGAAGCGTGCATAGACCTCGTTTCTCCGACGAACCATCCGTGTAACTACGCATAGAAATCTGTTTCTGGACAAGTACGATCGGGCAGTAAATTCGGCGTTAAAGCTAGACTATTCCTTGGGCCGGCTCGACGATAATCATAGGCTGCTCTCCGGTGCTCTACGATTCACGATGGCCATTCGAAATTCCGAACTGGCTAGAACGAGTGTGACTCTAATTGCAAAATATCGTCCCGTTCTAACTGTATGTTCGCGCCACGGTGAACATTTGCATGTGGAACGCCGCCGATTTTAAAAGTATACATATACATACATATATGTATACATATGTATATGTATAGTATGTACACACCTACACGGTGTTACGAGATTAAATCCAATCGGCCGACTATCTCCTGCAGTTGATCGAACGTACTTTTATCCGGATGGTCATTCATCTTGTAAACTGATAAAATTGTAGGCTATCGTACGTATGGAATTTTGTACATTAGCAGTTCATTGATGTGGAGTACAATGAAGAATGATCGTTTTGCTTGGGAAAAAATAATTTTTCTACGACTCATCTGACGTTTGACAAGCAAGAATAAGTATGACAGTAAGGAAATGAGCATTTTCTTTGCAAAAGAAAAATTCTTCCAGGTCTGACATGAGTAGATAGGGTAGTAGTAGGGCTGTAAGACGTCACCATCTTGTTTGCGCCGACGAATCATTTTTCCTTTGGTCTCTCTGCGGTCTGAGTGGGGAAAGTTATGAAAAATGGAAAAACAAGTATGAAAACAAGATGATGATTAAATTCTTACGAGTGTTATCTTTCGTTCAGTTCTAGTTCCTTCGATCAGTATGCGAGAATCTACATATTTACATAAACATCCGCAATCTGAACGATCGATAATCAGAAGGCTATGACAGGTGGGAGGAGATCATCTCCGAAGTTTAATTCTACCTGCCTCCAGAAAGGGGAGAGATCTGAAGTAAAGAAAAAACACAAACGATACCGCGGCTTCTCTCTGACCCAATTAGAATAACCTCGTTTCTGCTAGCGAAAACCGCCAGGAAACCGAGGGCTGCCTCCCCCCCACCTCTCCGTGGAAATATTCACGAAGCAGGAACACGGTCGGGTCTTTTTTCTTCATTTTCTATTCAAGGTTGCCCTTGTCAGGAAATTTTCGAGAATGCAGGTAGGCTCACGCCATCCCCGAGATTATGCTTATTCGGTGCTTTCTATGCTTCTCATTGCACACTTTCGCGATTTAATTATAAATCTTGTCCTTTCGGAAATGTTTTCAGGCTTGTGAAACGTATAAGGAAATTGTTACTGAACTACTTTGAACTTTCACCTTTCTCGTCGTTACTTCCAACATACAATTGGATTGAGGATCGCAAAAGGGTTAACGTGACCGTATAGCCTTCAACCGAAGTCCTAGAACGAAAGAACGAATCGCGAAGTGTTCCAGGGTTGCCCGGTTAAACGGAGCAAGAGGCCCTTCAGGAGGTCGAGGATGTCGGTGGTTCGCGTGATAGTTCACGTGCCAGTTCCCAACAATTTCTGGATAATATCTAAAATACCAAAAGGGGGATGGAGACAGAGAGAGAGAGAGAGAGAGACGCACTGATTGCCGCGAGATTGGGGCTGGAACATGGCGAACCGTTGTCAGCGGATCGATTAGAACTTTACCGAAATACTGTTGTGATAAATGGCAGGCGGTGATCGTGATTCACTTTCTCCGATCACTGTGTACGAAAAAAAAAAATGCTGCTGCCCCTACGAATCTCTGTTCGTAAATATTATAATCCATGATATTCATTTTGTTTTGCTCCTTTGTAATTTACTCGTATTTATTTGCAACCGTAGCAACCGTGTTATCGACTCTCTTGAAATTGAACTTTCACAATTTTCAAAGTAAACTGCTCGTATCTCGGATATATAATAACTTGCATGATATGTGTACTGTAACGTTGAGCGCAAATATCGTTTTGTAGAATTAAATTTCCCCGTAACGCGCTCTTACAATGCTTTCCAATTTTCCCCGGCGATCTAATATGTGTGTTTCTAAGAAAAACACGCAATTTCATTATTCTTTCAGATAATAGTATATTTAAACTGAAAAATGTTGTGCATTATCTAGATAGAGATTGCGCAATTGAACGTAGGAACATCCACTTTGAAAGAAAGTGTTTAGGCATTGTGCGAACATTTGTGATCTCTGATCCATATTTTGCTTATTTCACAAATGCGGTAAATTTTGAAACGTGTCATCGAACATATAATTACAATTGTAATTTCTGTGTTCGATTGTAACTTCTGTGGTCGATTATAATCTCTCTATTCGATTGAAATTTCTCTGTTTAATTGGAAACTTTTTCTTTGTATTACAGGATGACACGCGTATAATGAAAGTGGGCGACAAGAAGAGATGGATACACGATCCAAACAGTAAGTGGTCCCCTTAAAAATAGCCTCTAGAGTCTAGACCATATCAAACATTTTTCATTGAATCGATAACAATTTCATCCGAGAAAACTGGCCTGCGAAACAGATGTTCATTTTTTCCTGGTAAGATTCTGCTCTATTATATTCAATGAATAAAACCAAGTTAGAATTTATTTTTCTGTTAGAAAATTAGATTCCCCATTGGGCGACCAAATTCAAACAGATGCTACACCTCCCATGATAATTGAAAACAATCGATTATACACGTTTCCCTCGGCGAGAACACCCCGAATAGTTTGTTAAATTATTCCATCCGGGGCCAGAAAGAACACGATTCAAAGCGGAGAATCGACTGAAAAAACAAGGGGGGGGGGGCCAAAAAAAAATCAAATTACATGATTTCCAATTTCCGTGACTGGATTCAGTAGTGCAATATATGTACATCCCCGGTTGAATTTCAATTTCACGTGAGAAACCTGACCGCGCGCGTGATGCGAATTAATCGTCGCGATATCAATTAATCGACGAGCCCCCCACTCACCGCGTCGTCATTAGAAAATATCGGTTTTTCGCGCCAACACCGAGCTTTCTCGTATCTTTCGAATTTTTCCTCGTTAGAACGTAGAGAACAAATATGGTGGATGGTATTAATCTCATCCGGTGGGAAGTTGAAGAAAAAGAACCTTTGGCCAGGCAAATTATGCGGAATTATGTTAATCGTCCGGTGGAGTAACGCAAGCTTTTCTCTTCCTCGCTGCTTGGCTGCCTCGATTTTACGGTCCGTGTACAACAACCGGGTTTCCTTTCTCATTAACTTTCCCCCTGAAAAGAACCCTAGCTTCCTATTAAAGGATAACTTATCTCGGGACCCAAAACCCTTGCATGCCTATGACCGGGTCACCAACGATCCATCGTGGAACCGAGTCACCGCCGAGAAACTTCGTTACAGCAGCGATCCGAACTGGATGTTTGTCAAAATGACAGATTAAAGACGTACTATTATGCCATTACTGAAATTACTATAGTGCTGCTTTTGACGGAATTCATGTTGGCTTTTAATTTATATACAGATTTTATTTTATGGTATACTATATTCTAGATTGTCTTATATCTATATTCTATATATTATTGTATTATACGATTTAATTTCGTATACATTCAGTGCTGCAGTGACGAGTGGATAAGTTTTTTCGTCGATGTCAAAACGAAAAGAATATTTAACCGCGCAAAGATCGACCCCGGTCGAGGAAACGTGATATTTATCGCGCCACGCGTGTTCGCGTAATTTCCCGGAAAATCCGCAAATATTGTACCGCGTCGTTAGGAATCGAGAGGGTTAGAGAGGGGAAAGGGGAGAAAGCTCGACGACGACGGGAAATCAGGTAGTGGCGGAGAAAAAGCGAAAGCTTTCGCCGTGAAAAATCGATACGGTCGACGCGCGCGATTTACGCTCGCCTTGTCCGTCTGGTCTGAGTTCCGACCTGAAACCTTTTTCCAGCGCACCAACGACGCGTAAAGCGAAACAAACGGAGTCGCGGTGTTTTCAGCTTTCCCTGTCGCGTGTGTATTGTGTATCTCTCGATTGAACGAAACCGCCTTATTCCGCGCACTCTCTCGATTCTTCACGGAAGCACACGGATGAAAAAAAGCTCGACTTCTGGAATTTTTACGATCAAAAGAATTCTTAATGTGTTCCTAATACGTTTTCTTAGCCCTCGCGTAGCTCTCAATATTTCAAGAATTCCTTCTCTACATACCCTCCGAGTTCTTTGAGTTCTATGAACTTGTGTCAGATACATTTGAGTTCTCTGAATTGCCCCAGATTTCTTTGAGTTCTCTAAATTCCTTCAGAGTCCTTTGAATTTTGTGTACTTTAGATGTCATACGTACTCACCGATTGCCAGGTTCTTGATTTCTAGAGTTTCATAATTCTTGGAAGGTCGAAATCGAACAACTCGAAGCGCTCGGAAAACTTTGAAATGCAATCGGTAAGTAAGTACAACACCAAGCTTCTTCGATTCTCAGGATTCCTCGAGTTGTATCCTACAAACACTCGGGGTTTCTCTGAAGATTCTTTTGCAGGTTCCTCGAATTCATTTGAAGGTTTTTTTTGCAGGTTCCTCTAGTTCCTGAATGTTCTTGAAATTGTCGAGTTCAACTCTCGTCTCTCAAAGTTCAAGTTCCCGATCGTCAATTAGTCCCCGGACTCCTCTAATTTTTTACTCACCTCCTTTAAGACTCTATTCCTCGCTAATTGCTAATTAGTTCCCGCACGGCCAATTACCGGAAACTATTCACAGTCGTTGTCTGTTGCGAGATTATCGACGCAATAGCAACCCAGCAGGTTTTTTCTCCCCACGCGCAAAAGCATTGTTAACCTTTGACGGTGGATCGATAGATTGCGGGTGCGAAAAAGCAAAAGCAAAAGCAAAAGCAAAAGCAAAAGCAAAATCAAAACAAAATAAAGCGTAAATCCCGCGGAAAAATGTAATATCAACGCGTGCGCCACGTTCTGTCATTCGACGTGCAGAAAAACCCTATGAGATGTGTATATTTATCGTATTCCCTCCGTCGTAATTCCGGACAATACGTTCGCCCGTTTAACGCGCACAAATCGTTGTTGCATTGCCCAAGCCAATTCCATAAATACTCGGCTCGCTCGCAGCATCCAGGGGCCGCCCAGTGTTATCCAGAAATAAATTCCGCCCGTTCCACTGGATCCGGGCTAATTAATCGCAGGCTTCTGTCCTAACGCGGGCGAGTGGGGCCACCTCCGGTACATACATATTTCTAGCCAGTGGGAGGGGGGGGGGGCGCGCGCGGATAATCAGTTATCTTAATTTTCTCGTAAGTCAGCCATTGCTCCAACGCACCCATAAACCTGGGATATTCTCGGTCGTCCGACAGAATTCAACGAAAATTGAACCGTACCGATTGAATTGGACAGTTCGTTCCACCTGCTGGTTTTTAGCTGGCTTACGGAATGAAGATTGCGCATTACGACTGGCCACCAGAATGAAAATTTCGTGTCCTGGTGATAAATAAAATCGAACATTTTCTCGGGATACTTTGATCAGTCTCAGGCAGATGTTTTTGTTCGTTGTGCCTTCTTACTTCAGACTGTTTAGGATTCATGTTTCGAAGTTAGCATTTGAATCGATAAACAGTGATCCTGCTGACCAGTAAGAAAACATAATGTAGAAAGTAGACGATATGATAGAGAATTTCTTCGTATGTGTATTATGTATTATGTAACTTCGTATGTGAATTTCTTTAATGTGTCTGACCATTGCCGGTCAATTTTACTTAATCTCTTTGGGGACAAATTATTAAGACTCTTTTTCAGCTGCATCTATTTCACAATACATATTTATGAATATTAATGACAATCGGGCATTTTCACGGCATCACGTTTTCGAAAACACCGGTAATAGAATTATTCCGTTTCTTATCGTCGCGCGCGCGTTCAAAACAGTAGCAGCTAGCAGCACCACCACCGTCGTATCGGGTGGTTGTACAGGCGCGCGACGCACAAAGAATGGATGTAATCGTGTGCACTCGCTTCGTTATTGCCCGCGCGATGACAACTCTACCGTTTTATCTTTTGCACCGCTTCGATTCCTCTGTCGTTACCTTTTTTCCCTACCCCCTCCAGCACCCTACTGGCGAACGCGTAGACAGGCTATCGGTTTTTCCAGCAAATTTTTAACTTCGATCCCCTCTCCCCTCCCCCTCTGTGTATTCTCTGAAACGAAAAAACAGGATCAGCGGTTCAAGGCTTTTCTCAAAGGATTTAAATGGAAACTTTTCTAGCATCCCCTTGGTAATAATTTCAATTGTTTGAGAAATCTTCGGTGGAGTGGACACTGTCACGAGGGTAGATCGTTTTAATAGAAGTTTTAAATTTCTCTTGAATTTCTAAAGTTAATACTAGTAACTTTAGTGTACGGTACAACAATTTTAATAGTATTATTAGCTAAATTAATGCTTTTCTGTGGTCTAATGAGGAATTAACCCTTCCGACCCGACCGACGTACACCGTACGTCCACACGATCCGTCATCTGCGGCCGAATGACGATCTTTGGAATGAGAAATTTTCAGACCTTACGTAGTTACATTATCGTTCAAAGAACAAGAAAGCACTTTTTTTTTTTCTACGGAATGTAATCTATCCTTTTTATGGGGAAAAATTATGTCTCAACACAATTTCAGACATGGCATACTTGGTTCGTTTTTATTTTCATCATAATACATAAGAATGGAAATTTTGATGTGTCAATATCCTCGAAGAGGCTGGTCATTTCTCACCAACCAGTAAGCGTGTTTTCGATCGAGAAACCTGTCTAGTTGGCACGGATTAAAACGTGTATCTCAATATCCACGTGTCAACAGGATTTACACATGGGCTTGAACGTTTCCTAAAACGAGATACGTTCATCCAACAGAGAATCTCCGTTCCATGGAAAAACACGAAGAAATAATAAGACGACGATAAATAGAGAGTACCTACGGTCGCGTATCCAAGCCCTGTCGCATAGGATGGAGTAGGAGGGAGGAAAAGGAACATTTCCGATTCAGAAGCGTTCGTGTCCCCGTTCGCGGGAAATAGGATATCTGTCTCGCGGCGTGAAGCATCGCACCCGCTTCGTTTCTGAGAATGCATTTCACGGTGTACGTCGTCGCGAAGATTTCTCGAATCGATAAATCGGATCCAACGTAGGCCCCATCCACACCTTAACGAGTCTCGTCGAATTGAATCGTCCTCTTGTACGTTAACCAATTGCGTACACACCACAGTGATCTCCATCTTCAGGTTTTCCTAATTTTTCAAACATCCTCGACCAAAGTCATGTACGTCTCGATCCCATAATAGTGTAGGAATAATCTTTGGGATCTTCCCGGTTTCACCAATTCATGCTTCAACGACCTCAGAGCCACGGTACCCTCTTGTTCTTGCCAGCTCCGCCGTTAATGGTGGTCGTCGCGAGCATTAATTTCATTCGAGCCCTCGTCCGCGAATTCGCGGAGAATACTTGGTAAACGAGGGGAGAACGCAAACTTTGATGATCCGGGGCACATTTGCGCAACCTCGTGGAAACTTTGACATTAGGGCTCCTTGTGGGTCCTTCGTGATTGGGTTTATGCTTTACCTCCAAGCATTCTCGACGCGCGTCCGATCAGATTCTAACAGCACCGAAACTCCTAATGATGGTTAAGGGAACCAGGAACAGCAGGGCAGATGGTCCTTTCATTCGGTTATTCGTATTTGCTACTTGCACCTCTAATGCGACCCACGTTGTAACACACTAGACCTCCGATACTAACAATAGGTAAAAACCTTCGAAACGATTAGAGACACGAGAAAAAAGATCTACTAACTATCCGCTCGATCGTTCGTTCGTTCGTTCGTTCGTTCGTTCGTTCGTTAATGTCAAGGTCCGTTAACACACGAACGTAACCGGTTACGAGATCTCAACGACCCCTTGTCCTCTCATCTCCAACACACCCCTATTTTCGAACGGTATTACGGTATCGATTACAGAGCGTATATTACACGGGCTGACAATTACAGCGGACAATACGCGTCCAAAATGGTTCGAGTCTTCGGCCGTGAATCGAATCAGCCACGGGAACAGAGAGATACAACCGTGGAGATCGTTGGCGCGAGTCCCCAGGATCGAATGATCGACGATGTCGCATTGGACGCCTCTGAAGTCGTTGGATAACGCTAGGCGTGATAGGACGTCGATGGTAACGGACCGATTTCGTTGGTCGAAGGATGGGTCCGATCTATCTATATTATCTACCTATATGTATAATCTACCTATACATAAGTGGATCGGTGAAGATACCAGCCATCACTGGACGCTTGTGTGATACGACACATAGGTAGTAAATGGAGAACGTTGGTATCGACAATGAAACGCCTTAGTGTTGGAGTCGGTAGAGTTGTAGGAACTATAGCAAGTCGTTTGCGATTAAAGATAATTCGAAATTTACGAATAAGACCGATTATTATTTTCAATGACTCTATTGATCACTTTAAGAAATCCTTCACCATCCATCTCCGGTTCCTTCAAGAATCACGGAATTTCGATGCCCGTATTGTAAACCCGTGTCTCCACTTTTCTTTATACATATGTATTGGTATAAGCGCACCACTGGTTCCAAGTAGTGCGCCTGTACATAGTAGACAGACAACAAAGTACTTTCCTAGAATCGGTAAAAGAAAAACACATTCTCAATTGTTTAAAGCAAATGCGGTCACGAGCACGCGCGGTCCTGGTTTCCCACATTTCCAAGATTTAAATCTTCAGGCGCGATTCCACGGTCGCTCGCGAACGACTTGGTGCGCTTTTAATGGCGGCATAAATCGCATCCGAGGGGACAGTTTACCGTTGAGAGGGAGGGGGCCTGGTTGCGTACCATGCCGTGTTTGTTACTTTGATTCCAATAACGCCGCCGAGCCGCCGCGCCGCCGCGCCGTCGCGACACCCGTAAATTATATCGGCGAAACGATACGGGCAATTACGCGATATCTCGATATAATTTAATCGTGCGTGCAAACCCCCGCCACGGAACATAACCGCGCGCGATCCTTTCTTTCGAGAGCTGCCCGCCACCGTCGCTATCTGTTTTGTCAATCTTTTTCTGTGAATCTTTGATTCGTAATCCAGAATCTCTTGGACCCTACGTTTAGATTAAAATATGCGGGAAGGGTCAAGGAATCCCAATACGCAAATATGTCGTTACTAGGTTTCCTGCCTCGCATCGCCTTCACAGGAGACCCCGATCGTACTCGAAGGGAGGAGAACCAAGCGAACTTTTCGACGTCGGCTCCTGAATCTCCAGACGGCTCCTGACCGTGAAGGACAATAACACCAGTCGACAGATCCTCCGCGGCGCGGCGAGGTGAATCGGATGGATACCTCGTCGTTCCAACGATCCCCAAGACGCATTCGGTTTCTGACAGGGAAGAGGCCAGTCCATATACACTGAAGCGGCTGAAGCGGAATTATTGCCTGTCGAAATGTTTCGAGGGGTGTATCCTAGTGTTATATGTACCACTGTGAATATTCTGAATATCAAGTTCTGGGAGAATTGTTTCTACAACTGTATCTCGAGCTTTCTATGCACTTTATGAAGCTATAAAATGAATATTCTATCACTTACATACAACTGGTATACAGTGACGCACACATTTGTTCACAGACTTCTGGAATGTAACAATTAGGTGTGAAAACTTTTCGGCATTTCTATTTATACATTACAGGGTGAGTCGATAAGAACTATCATACACCATCTAAAATAACTCCGTATGCATTCGTGATAATTAATTTACATGCAATTCACCGGTAAAAAATAATAAATAACCAGAATAATTCTTGCTGATTTGTGCCACGTTGCACGAAAAGAAGCAACCGCGTAACCTACAGGGGCGAGCCGTTTTCCACCACGGAAAAAACCGTACCGCAAACAGGCTCGTGCAAATACGGATCGGCATCGTGGAGGGAAGGGATCCATTACGCGTCTAATTAAAAGTTCGCCCCGCGGTGTTCGACCGTTCGCGAGTAATATCCCCGGGAGAGAGAGAAAAGAGGAGGAGGGAGGAGGGTTGGAATTGAAGTCGGCCGTACACGAATTAAGGAGGCTCGCTCCGCCCTTACCCTTTGATAGGGTTTCCCACGACGGCTCAATTTTCGAGGCGAAGCGCTCTCTCTCTCTCTCTCTCTCTCTCTCTCTCTCTCGAATGGCCGTCTACGCGTGTCGAAACTACGGGAAAAGCCGATTGTTTGGTGTCGTGTGAAACACCATTCACCTCGATTCGATACGAACATTTATCATCGTTTTGTTAATCGATCAACAGATCTAACAGATAAGCAGAATATAAAATTAAATTTAATCCTCGAGATACGATCTTGTGGCGTTTGACAGTAGAAAATGGCAGAAAATGGCAGAAAATGGCAAAAAATTACGGGAATGGAGAAACACGTCGAATTGCGGATGTTCTCTTTCTCGGGGGAATTTTGAAAATTTAATAAGACGGGGTACCTAACGCGCGCACATCGATATACATACGTACTATACGCCTACGAATTACGAGACGGCGTAATATCGACGGAAGCCGTGAATTTTTCCACGTCGTTGATCGTGACTCGATGAACACTGTATGTATATGTATATGTATATGTATATGTATATGTATAGTTTAATTCTGAGACGGCGTATTCGGCACGGTTCACAACAGCCGAGCAATTCTTCCGGTTTAATATCGGCCACCCGCGTTTAACCATTCAGACGCGCGCCACTTCTTTATTCGTGAAAAAACTTATCGTCGAATTGCGTATTTGAATGCATTCTTCGTGCCACGCGATCCTGTAGAACGGAGAATGCAGAATGGGAGAAAGTTCATAAGTTCCCCGTCGTATTTCGAGTTTGAATAGAGTTTTTGTCAGTGATCTTTGTGTTTTAGGAATTTTCCCAAAATTGATTTTCTCGACGACTGTAGAATTTCGGATTAATTTATTGTTGATCATTTCCCAGAAGTAAATGGAATTCTATACACTTACTGCAGGTGTACATGTATTCTACGAGTTACACGTTAATACCAACGAAATAAAATATAATGGTGGGCAAAAATGATACATAAATAATCTCAGTTTATCGATTTTCACGGTTCAGAATACTTAATCCCATACTTCTGATGACAAAAGTGGCGTTAATTTTTATAATATAGGTACATAATTAAAGAACAAGACGAATTTATTCTGGTTTCAGGCGAACTCTGTCGTCCACTGAATTGCAAGAAGAAGGAACTGTGTCTGCTGGAGGACACTTTCACAGCCGTCTGCGTGTCGAAGAAGGAGCTTCACAAGTCAGGGTGAGCATTAATGTGTCCCAACCCAATTCCTTCGATTTTCGATTTGTGCCACCTCCTGATCAGTTGATCATCGAGCGATCCCCCACCGAATGTCCAAAATTAGTGATCCCACTGAATTTCCAAAAATATTCACGTTAATGTGAAATTTCGTAAATGAACGATCCCAGAGAATTCGTGAAAGACGGGCGAGATCCGATAGAAGTTCGAGAATAGACGAGATGTCGTCGAATTTCGAAATCAGAGGGCCAGTGCTCTCGAAATTTCTCGCTCGATCGGTTCTCGCTGACGATGCCCGCGACCGATGATTAACGAGAGGATATTATCTGCGAAAACCGTACGAAACGAGCGGAATATCGGGAACGGTCGGAGGTGATCATTGATTTTCAAGCGTGCTTATTGCCAGTTAACCGTGATTCCAGCTTTCCGCGTGGATATGGGGGGAGCATTCACGTGCTCCTGAAATTTATCTTGAACCGTCTGCGCGTGATATTAAACGGCCTTCACGGGCAATTAACGCGCGGACCGATCCGCGTTTCGATTCTCGGCCCTTCTGGTAACACACGGCGACGAATAAAACGAACGGTAACGCGTGCGTAAGTGCTTCCCTGCATCCTAATTTCCTAACCTTCTAATTTTATTAGGTTTGTGCTGAATTATTGCTCGTTAGATTTAAGTTGGTATATTGGAAAAGAAATGGTCAAATTTCAGTTGGTATTACTAAAGAAATTGCCAAATTTCAGTTGGTATTGCAAAGTATATGGTCGAATTTAAGTTGTCATTGGAAAAGAAATGGTCGAATTGAAGTTGGTATTGTGCTTTCAAATAATATCTCGTCGATTGAGTATTCAACGATCTCGCCGGGAAATATAACAGAAGAGCTTTTAAAAAAAATATGGGGAACTATTTCGCGTAATGGGATCGATATCGATCACGATTGTTCAACTGCAAAAACGGCCATCATTTTTTCCATATACATACACCTAACAGAAAATTTGCATTTTCAGCTGGAACGAAACACAGAAGAATAGATGTATTAACATTTTACTGGAAGGATTTCATATATATATATATATTGTAAATACATACATATATGTATTATGTATGATGAAAAGCGCAACGCAATTACGGCCGTACGAATTTATACACGTTGAATCCGCAGATTGCTCGAACGAATGGCGCATTTACACTGAACCACGGCCCGCAATATCCCGATCCATAATTTCTCGTTCTCGAACGGACGAACGGGGAAAGTTACATTTTCGGTCGGGCACGAGCGCTGTCGCGGAAAACCGGTTAATGTTAACTCGAATGCACCGTTGTAAAATCGCGAAAAACCTTACGAAATTTTATTTATCGTCTACCGATCAATCTACCGTCTATTACGATTTAATTAAACCGTGGGATTGGTCTTGCTGTCCATTCAATTATTTCACTATCTATCTATTAAACTATTCAACTATTCATCTCTTTGATTATTCATCAATTCGATTATACATCTATCCATCTACTAAGGTGTATTAGACTATTGAACTATTCATCTGTATAATTCTTGACACGTTCAATTGTTCCTTTTTTCGATTATACACCTGCTCACCTAGTTAAGTACCAGACTATTCAACTGTTCATTGGTTCAATTGTTCCTGTACTCAACTATTCATCTGTTCATCTATTAAATTGCTCAACAATTGAACTGTTCAGCTGTTCAACCGGTGAACCAGTTTAGTGTTGAACCGTTCAACCATTTACCAGCAGAATTCTCACAGATTTCCGGAGGAGCGTCTGTCGCGGGGTGAAAAATTCGCAACATCCAAGTATTTGCGGAACGCACCCTGGAAAACTCGATCGCCGCGACGTCGATGATAGATATTCTCGCGCGTCTGCCGGAAAAATTCAGCGTCGTTACACCCGGGCGCGAAATTATATTCGAAAGGATCGCGAGTAGACGACGCATTTTCGTACGGCTTCGGAATTGCTTTTAACTTATTCCATTTCGAGGAAGCATGTGTCGGCGTCTTGACACGATGAAATCCGGTTAAATTTTTAAAATTCGTGAATTCACTCTCCGACCCACCGCCGCTGAGACCACACTTCAGCCCTGTGAAAGACACGTCTTTCAGCTGTCCTCGTTATTATTTCTCCCGTCTGGAATTATTACCATTATGTTCGACAGATATACATATATATGTATACATGTATCTGTCGAAGAAACCGGTCGGAAAGTTCTCTCGCGAGAATTCCACGGAAATTCGTCGATTCAGCGCAGTCCGATGTCGATTGACATAAGGACCGTTACTACTTGTCGATCGTGGTTTTTTTTTTTCTTTTCAGGGACATAGTGATCCCAAAGTCCCGGGCGGTTCAAATGCCTTCTTCGATTCCGAAGACGATGACGAGGATCAAGACGAGTCCAAGTAAGTCATCTGTTTTCTCTTTCTCTGTAGAAGTTCTCCAATCACGGGTCTAACTTATTCTTGTCGTTACAACTGCGGCGGATATTTATGCAAGTTCACATGTCCAAAAACTGAACCACAAAAATAGAGAATTGTCGAATAGCGAAAAAAGATATGTTAAAAAATGATCACCTCTATTAAAATTGTTTTACCGAAATCCCGTTGTAGATTTTACTAGCAACGACGATATGATTGACATTGTTATTCATCGATGAATTATGGAATTTTCCTTGTTTCAAATATTCAGTAGGTCACGGTTATTTATTCATGTTTCGATATAGCGTAATTCCTTGATAAGAATACACACGGTATACCAGTCGGAAAATCAAATAAATTAACAGACTCGACGAGGCGATTGTAACAGTCCTTAATCTAAATTTTTTCTCACGAAACTAATGCGACTGGAAATATCCATTGTACTATTATCCGGCTGTAACCCGCGAATGTTAAGAAGGAAAGCGTATCGAAACAGGTAGAAATGCCGGGGAGGTCACCTTTCCACCATTGCGTTACCTCTTAAATAAAATTACATAGAAGAAAGCCATTATAGTCACGTGTAGTCACTAAACAGTCACTTCAGAGGAAGCCACTATGGCGTGTAGCGGCTAGAAGGTTCACTTTGAATCACAGAACAAAATATCTGACCGAAAATTGATATCGATTCGGATGAAAAAAGATATCATCTCTCCTGAAAGGATTTCAATGCCATCGACAACTGTAAGAAAACGGAACATAAATCGTCCTTCCCTTAAAAGAAACAATAACAAACCACTCTACGTTGTAGCTAAAAAATAATGTTCGAACAGAGCCCCCAGCGGATGAAGGGGCGCGAGATGCCTTTATTTCAGGTCCACGATGCTACATCAAACAGGAGTTACTCGACGGTGGCAAGGATATAGGAAGCTTCGAGCGTGCCCCCCCCCCCCCTCTAATTCACAGGAAAAGAAAATTCCACAGGGAAAACAGCTCAGAACGAACGAACGAACGAACGAACGAACGGTGAAAGAGACGAGAGAAGCGAAGAGAGAGTTGCCAGCGAAACATTTCCTTCTACTTAAATTTGCACGAGCGAGCAGAGCAAAGAGGGTTTTCCATCCATCCATCCACCCGCCCCCCGCCCCCGTCTTTTTTTCCACCCCTCTTGGCGTGTGTCCCTCTTCTCATTTCGAGCTGCTCACTGTCCTTTGAAAACTCTCCTCGCCGCACGGTTGTCGTAAGGGTCACGTCGTACGCAAAACAGGGTTTAATTGCTAGGCACCGAGGTCCTCGACGCAGAAGTCGACGGTTCGACGACGTCTGACCCGTTCGCAGATTCGTTCTACTCGGAAAAGTATTGTACATTGGGTTGTGCTACTTAGCGCACCTTGCTGAATCGGGCGCCTATTCAGAGCCATTATACAGAAGATGTTGCAAATGAGCTCCTTGTGCTTTTGTGCATTCTTTTGCGACTGGAAACACATTCAAACTAATCGCACGCAAAACATAAAGATCTATCGTTCGAGGCGGGCCAATTTTACGTGGAACGCTCTACTATATGTATACAGGGTGGTTAACGAAATGTGTTCTCCTTGGTACCTTTTGTAACTTTCGTTAAAAGTATTCTTCCGTACAATCAATAATTTACGAATAAAATTAGGTGTGGTCACGTTAAGTGAACCATCCTGTATAGCAATGTCAACATTCGTAGACCGAGAGATGGAAGCTGCAATGTGTCTTTAAAGAGAGTTACCTTCAAATTCGATTGAATAATTTTATCAGACCATTTTTTGCACCGTTCGGAAAGGAAAGTAGAAACGCGCGCATGTTCACCACGATCTTAATGAAACCAAGAGTGTTTACGTGATCAGAAGCGTCGGGCTTGATGGAACTTTCAACGAAACTTCTCCGATAAAACGACAACGGGGTAGAAAATAACGCGGCGTTTATCTCGCTTTTACAGCATTTCACCGGCATCGGGGATCGGTTCACGTAACTATCAAACTATATGTATGTCCCCACCAGAGGAGAGGCCCCATAAAGAAACAATATAACGTCGCGACCATTTTATTTTCTCCGACGCCAAAAGTGTCTTTCGTTAACTTTCCAAGAATCATCTATAATAGGAGGAGAATATTACCTAATTTTTTCCACGTTTTATACTTGAACTATCCGCAGAGCGATTACGAGCCGATGAACGGGTAAATAGGCGACTAAACGGTTCGTCGTCGCTCTAAAATGAGAACTTAATAACCGGAAAGCACATGGCCACTGCTACCGAGGGCATCTACAGTGGAGGCTCGACCCAAAATGTCATTCACGCAATGGCATACGCTTGATAAACTGTAGATATCGTGATACTCTACGATAATTGCCCATACGGGATCCCAAGTGTCGAGGGCTAATCGCAGATTTACTGTAATTGATTTTCATCGTGGCCTCGATAAATGCTTGTAGAGACCTCGCAGAAGAAGTCGCAGAGACACGAAGAAAGCCGCAGGTGAGGGGTGGGGGGGGGAGGAGGGCGGAAGGAAGGACGCTCGGAAGCGAGAGCTACCTGGTCTGGCTCCGTCTTGATAAAGGAGTTGAACTGGCTTAATTACCGCGTTACTCGGTTTAAACTAATTACACGTTTGCCGGCGACCGCAAATTCTCGAGGCACAACCTACCTACCGGCGTTGCGGCCGAATTCAGAAGCCTCTCCTTGCAAACGGCGGTGATTCTTTATTACGGCCGCCCCTCCAGTGTGTCCTTGTTTGGATGGTACAAAACGGACAGGACATTGTACGTGAAAAATTATGTCTACCAAATATAGAATAAAATTTGTTTGTAAGATGTTTCGTTTATGTGTACCTACAGGGCGTTTGAAAATTTAATGTCACGGGATTTGCAAAGTCAACGCAAAGGTGACCTTGACCTTGAAATTCGAGGTTGGATTATCTCGAAAACACAGCATCGTACTGGATGCACATTTTCTACTTATTTTTTCGCGTACAATCACCTTCTTTTCCGGTTGCACCAACCTTTCTGGGACACCCTGCATAAGCGCTCATAATTATGCGAACCCATTTACGGAGATTCCACGTTGCAACTGATGATTTGTTGTTCCCTTGAGAATCCAAGGATAACACGGAAATTCCGAAAATTTCCCTGAATTTCCGAGAATTTTCTTAAATTTATCCGAATTTACCTCGAATTTCTTTGAATTTCCCTGAATTTCCCTGAATTTCCCTGAATTTCCCTGAATTTCTCTGCATTTCTGAGACGGTATTCTGAAATAGAAAAAGCAACGGTGAAATAGAGAATGGCGATGGTGTAGTAGGTGGGAGATCGATTAATCGGTATCCGTCGGGCGTTTTATCAACCGTCACAATTGCCCGACAGAATAATCGAATTCGAGCGCGCGAATTAATTCACTGCCGGGACGCGCGCGCGCGCACGAGATTACGTAGCCAATCGACTCCGATGGTATCGACGTGTGCCGGCCGAATAATTGATAGTTAATAATTTGGTTCGATTTAACCGGATGCTGCCGCATCAATTCTCGTCCGCGGATGGAAAACCGTAGAAGTATCGACGGTTTATTCGCGTTAAACTTCAAGCCTGTTCAATTTTCGAAGACAGATGTATGTACTATATGTATACATAGAAGTTGAAGAAGGAGAGCAGGAAACTGTTGCGAATTAAAGAATTACCGGAAATTCGATAATGAAAACTGGACATGGGCGTAGTCAGGAGGGAGGTACTTGCCCTCCACCCCCTCCCCTCCAAGAGTTACAAAATTTTTGCGTAATATTTAATATTACAATATAATTTGAAACACGACCAAAAGCCTCTATTAACGAACCGCATACACTTTCAACGATTTACGACTTTAAAAACAAAATAAAGTGTGTCCGGCTACGTACAGCCTTTTTCACTGTGGCAGTCGATGTGTTGATCTGATAGTCTTTGTGATAATTTAATAAGTGATTTATTATTTTTATTCGTGTAGGAAATATATTTAAAGTACCATTAGGATTGAAACTTAAACACGGGTCAAAAGTGACACCACACGTAAGGTTGTGGATCGTAAAGGTGTTGATCATTATCATCATTATCGTCGTCGTCATCGTCGTCGTCGTCGTCGTCATCAAGTTTCAAGACATTACCAAGAAAAGTTCCATTGCCAGCAGCAATAGTAGAATATTCATCGATCTCAATTTTCTAGACCGCACAGGAACCTTCTCTCCTCCTTTCGTTCGTTCATTAAAGGCTAGTGAAACAGCCAGAAGGCTAGCTTTCCTTCATCCGGCCTTTATACTTCGAACTCTCCCTAATGAACGAAAAAAAAAAATAGGACGGGAAAGAGAGAAAGACTTGCCTGTCCGGTTCAGAAAATTGAAGTTTGTTGCGAAAGAATTAGTCACATCGCGGCGGTTCCGCGCTACGGTGAAAGCATTCTAAGCAGCGCTGAGATTAAATAGTTCCAAAGTGCATAAGTTGCTGTAGAATTGATATTGATCAGTATCGGATCCAAGAATGCATCGGTATTGAAAGTCGATACCGAGTATCCGATATGTCAGATGCCTTTCGATACTTAGCACTAATAATAAGTAGATACTATTATCGGTATCGAATTATTGGTTCATCGGCCATATGTATCGTATCAGTCCTATCGCTATCCATTACGTTCCCCATCCCCCGGTTGGTACTATAACTATAACACAGAGAATCCCACGCATGAAAATTTAACGTCACGCTCCGGCTGGGTATAGTGTGTGTGTGTGTGTGTGTGTGTGTGTGTGTGTGTGTGTGTTATAAAATTATAATTAACAAGCATGCCCGTTAAATGCGTTATAATGGTGTTTAAGTTTCGCGAGGACACGCCCTACGCTCCTCTTTTCCCGCTCGCGCGACAACGTTGTTGCGCTCGGAACTCGTGCAGAACCAACCCCCTGGTAATTTCATGTTACGACGACGAGGCGGATGGTTAACGGTTATGAAGCCGTGCGTTACGGAAATATACTGAAATTTTTCGCCAGGAAAATGTCAGTTTTCGTAGAACGGAGAAGAACAAATCTATGCACTTGCATAAACATCCGCAGTTCAGTAATAACATAATATAGGGTGTTTCCGAAAGTTATGTATGAAATAGCGTTTTGCCGTATGTGTTCTTTTTCCGTCTGGAAAACAAAGCCTCGAATGTTAAAACAAATTTAAAATTTCTACATTTTTTTCTTACCGTTTTTATGAAGAATCACCTCGTTATACCTAACTTTCGGAGACACCCTATATATGTGACACATCAAGGTGTGGTTACGTGAAGTGAACTCGGTGTTTGTATTTAAAAAGTAAAGAGCTTGGAGGGTTCGAGTTACGTTCAGCTGGGTATCAGAATGCAATTCAGAGAACGTAACCGTCTCATGTAACGACGCGGATTCCTCGCCGCCCCTCCCTTTTGTTTCCAGATGTCAAGAGTGTCCTGTGGTGAAGCCGACGTTCCTTTGCGGAAGCGATAATCGGACGTACAGTTCGCCGTGCCGGCTCGAGTACCACAATTGCATTCACCACACCTCGGTTCGCATCGCCTGCAAAGGATTCTGCTCGTGCAAAGGTAATAACGACCGCAGACCGTGTCCAATGTCGAAAACTTCTTACAGATATATCAGTACGATGCGCCTCGAGCCATTTCGATATTTCACTCCGAGTATCGAGAGTTTCCAGTTTCAACGTTGAATTGAAAAAAAAAATCAAAGAACACAGTATCGTGGTAACGAATAAAACAGAAGTTTAAAAATTACTAAAAGGGATCCACGCAAATTTTGGTTACTTTCTATAAGATTACTGGCAACTCTAGTGGGTGAGGATCGTAGGAGAGAAACAATATTTATGGGGTTCTGTCGATCTACGATAAATTTCGTATCGTTGTTTTTTAGTCGAGTATGTTACAATCTTCATTCGGCGGTAGAACTTGCGAGTAGACTTATACAGGATGTTAGTAAAATCTCTGTCTATTTAATAGGAATTTTCAAGAAATGTTCAGAACTATGTGGTATCCCCCAATACACTTATGAATCCAATTAGTTGAGTTTTCATGTCTATTTATTCGTTATAATACTTTCACTATAACCAAGCAATCAATGGCAAGAATTATTTGACTTTCCAAGTTTTCTTCTCTTCCTTCGACAACTTCTCTAATAACAGGCCAATTGTGGACACCCCGTGTTAGATTAGTCGGCAATTACAACGTCAGGAAATTGAAGGAGAGAAAAGATATTGACAAGCTTTTTCGATCCATTGCCCTCCAGGGGCCGCGAGGAACAGTGAGATATATGTATAGGCCAAGCAAACTTGATTTATCGTCCGGGAAAGCCCCGGTTTGATTTATCGCCAACAGCTTTTGAGACCCGAATTAATGGCCAGCCGCGAGTCCTCCTTCGTATTCCCGATTCGGGTGAAACCCATCGACACCGAAACAAACATCCTTCGGGATCTCTCTCTCTCTCTCTCTCTCTCTCTCTCTCTCTCTCTCTCTCTCTCTCTCTCTCTCTCAATCTATCCCATTTTCTCTGTCGACTGGTGGATAGATTCGTTTCTCGATCGATCGTAACGCGTCAGAAAATCTTCGTGGAGTTTCCCCGATCCTATCGTGAGTGGGTAGTAGAGATTGATTCGTTAGTTTATTCATAGACGAGCCGATCGCGTAGTCGCTTTAACAATGGAGCTGTGTTTGCGCCTCCCCGCGACAAGCACACCTACCGATGAATATTCATAATTGCCTGTTCGAACAATATAGTGCCGCTGTTCGCGCGTACCAAGTTCCACAATACGTTTTTAATTGAATCAAGGTTTATTGGGGTGGAGAATCGGTGATCTGTGATTAGTTTAAACTCGTTTTTGGAAATTGAGAGTTACAAAAATACAATGACTCATACACATGCTTTCATAGACTTCTGAAACAACAATTATGTGTCAAAACTTTTCTGCGGATTTCTATTTATTTGAAAATTAATTTTGAAATAAAATTCACATTTTGGTGAATAATTCGGTCAAATAGATGTGACAGCCGTTCGTGAACAAACTTGTCAGTCACTGTATGTTCAAATAATGATTTCGACGAGTAGAAAAAAGTGATTTGTATGGAGAAAAAAAAAAGAAAAAAACGCGTGTTAAGGTATACTGTGAAATTATCGTGGATAATCGTAAATTAACGTTGAAACGAGTGATGCAAAGTCTGTTTCGTGAGAATAGTTCCCTCAATTTTTCATTGTTACTCGTCGGAAATTGAATTCCCGATGGACAGAATGACGTAGTGTACCACGATACAAAAAATCGGACAGATCCAAAAAGTCTCCGAGTTTGATATTAAACCATCTACGGGTGTTTTCTCTTCCCCAGAATTTGAAACGGTAATCGCGAGCATCGAGCGATTAATATATGTATGTATATGTACACGGCCGGGGGGCATAAAATATTCGTCGAGCGGCCGTGTAAACGTCGACAATCGAATTTTATTCGTGTCGAGGGAACGACGACTACGACACGACATCGACGGGGGTCCCTACCCCACGCGTTTGTTTAAAAATCATTGGGTAGGCATGTCTGCGCGGCCGAGCGAAATGCAAATGTTAATTTTCGGACAGTTCGTTTGCTCGGCGGTTAATGAGTCGTCGTTCTGTCCAGCCACGTTTCCATGTATACTATATGTGCGTTTTTTTAACGATCCAAATACCGACAGACAAAAATTTTTTTTTCACTTTGTGCTCTTCTTTTTTTTCCGTCTTTTTCGTTGATTTTACCATTCGAGTAAAAGTACACCAATGTATGAATACTTAAGAGATTTTGTAAGTATTAAAGTTGAATGTTAAATGACAATAATATTGATAAATATGTCGTACATAATAATATGCAATGTGCAAAAATAAAACACCTTTTGAATGTCGAACGATTGAAATATCAGTAAAAATGAAAAAATATATTTCTTTCATTCAAATGGTTGCACATATCGAAAAGAAAATTCCATCGTTAAAGGGTCAAATGGAATAAACATCGTTAAGGTGGAATAACGATGGCGAATATGTAATGAAATACTGTTAACTACAAAAAAAACATGGTACGATCGTTTCAGCGGCCGATCTGAGAGCGCACAACAAGAAGATGCAGACGCAACGTCAAAAGTCCATGGGCAAGCTGACGAGGAACCGTGACATCACTTTAACACCGCGCGACTTCAACTACGACAACCACCATTACCAGTACCTGAAGTACACCAAACGTGCCAAGGTGAGTCCAAGTAATTAACCTTGAACACAACGAGACCATGTCGAACTCTCTGATCCCCATCTACTGGACATAACCATACCTGTGATTACACGAAATCGTCGAAGGACTTTAGATGCAGGGATGAGTCGATAAGAGTTACTATCTACAATAACTCGTTAGCTATTAATTGTATCAGAAAATCTTTCACTGAATTTCACTGAATTCATTAAAACGTTTTCCGATACAACCAATAGGTAACGAATTATTGTAGATAGTTGTTATTATTGACTCACCATGTATATCCATGTGGGTAGAAGACATGATTCGATCACCGTACACCCCTTGACTCCAAATCTTTTATTCACCCTTAATGATTCCTGTATCGATCCTCAACAAAGCCGGCGAACTTTAATAAACTTCACGGAGCCTAATATTCGGCCCCCAAGAAGTTTAATTAAAACGACATACTGGGTAGAGGGTAGTCCGAGAGAATCGACGCACGGATGTGAAAATGGTCGATGTAATAACCGTGGAACGGATAGGATCAGATGTCCCCCATTCGAGGACGCAATAACGCGATAATGCTAATAAACAGCCTTAATAAACGATCGTTCGGGATCGTTATCGCTGCTCGGTGTGTATTCTGCGGCGGGGAATATTAGTTAATTAGACGGAAATTATGATGCATAATCGTCTGGTAGGGGCATCGAAGGAGGGATATCTAAAGAGCCCCCCCCCCCCTCCTCGTCCTCGCACTTGTCGCGTTCAATCTTTATACAGTTATTTTATAAGTGAGCAAATGAAACACAAAGAAAGTAAACTGTATTGATTCTGAAGGAACAATTTCTGTTAGACTAATTGTAAACTAACGACATCGACCTCTCGAGTAGTAAAACCACGTGTTTAGTCAGGCCAAAATCACATTCACTCTAGAACTGACGAACAATATGAACGGCGGATCGGTACGCGATAGGATCTCAGATTTTCATCAGTATTAAGTAGAACAGACACGTGCTGTGTCAGACACCTTTTATTTTCATTACATTCTGCTATTCCTGTTCTACATTTCGCTACTTACGAAAAAATCAATCGTTATTCGATTCTCGATATTCCTCTTCTTAAATTACACTCCTTCTTCTTTCTAAAACGAGTCTTTCGAACTTATTATCATATATCCGAGACCAGCGACCAATGGTACCTATCTACTCCAGCAAAATGGAAACTGCCAGACGAAACAGCACGAGCTGCCATTAAACGCGTCGGGATTTATAAATTGTTGATTCAATCGTCATAATAATATGTACATGTTACGAGGGTACCGAACGCACCCACACACACCCCGTTTACCCCCGAGTCGAGGTTTCGCGGAAAACGCACGCGTGAATATTTCATCGAAGCGGGTTTTAAACGGCGCCATTACTATTCGTATTAGGGGCTATGAATTATTTAAGTTTTGAATCACAGATTCGCGAGATGAACAGCATACTATCAGGCTAAATTGCAAAATAAATCTGGACCGACTGCGCAGGAGGGCCAGCAAGGTGGGGGCAGGGTTGAATCGCTTTCCATTTAACCGTTCGCGGTCTCTCGCCCACCTCCTGGTCTCGTTATCGTATTTCATCGGACGGAATTCTGTAAATTCTACCTGACAAAAAGATTTCACCGTCATTTAGACCATCTACCCACATATGTATACATATACATATGTTTTATGTGGCACCCTTGCTACAAAAGTGAGTACAGAACTCGAAAAAGGTTAGTTTCTAAAACTATCTAAAAGATGGACGCCTTCAGGAGACAGAACACTGTGTAACGGTCCTATATGTATAAGTGCAGAGATTTTTTGGATTTTTACGAAATCGTAAAAGTCACGATTCACTGTCACGTGAAAACCTAACTTAAGAGTGGCATAGCCAGCCAACTTATGAAGCTAAAAGATGCGACATTTTCATAGCGATAACTCGAAAAAACACGTTTCGCCGTTTGTGTCACTTTTGTAGCCTTATGGATCCTCTAGGATTGCAAAAAGTCTTAATCTTAATATTCCGTGAGTTCACGTATTCGTTTCCCAAAGAGCATTAAATGAATCCTTTAAAAAGTCGAGGTCGTGTTTGAAGTTACGATCGATGGCCACTTTCGAGCGAAGTTTCGAGTAATCTGAATTAATTGGAGGAAATATCGGTGTCCTGGATTAAGAAAGGAGGAGACGGATTAACGATAGGGGTCGTAAAGGAAAAGAATAAAGAAAATTGCCGTTGCTTGTTAAGCTGGATTAGACTGGGAAGGTTTAGCAAGAGTAACCCAGGCCAGCGTGGAACGGAAAGACACGCGCGCCGTCTTGGCGACAGAATAAGGTGTCCTTAATATGTTCGGAATTATGGGAGTTAAAGAAAATTGCGCCGGAATCGTAAAGTCCTAAGTTTCAGATCCTTAATCCCGGGATATTATATTCTGGAATCTTGGATTCCAAGGGGGCAATACCCATGGGGGGGGGGGGGGGGGGTGCTAAGTTTTATGATTCTCCGTCGTAGGAATAGCCGATTTTGGGGTTCCTAAGTTTCTGGATCGTACGTTGTAGGTATTCTAAGGTGTGGAATTTTATGCTCTAACAACTAACCGAAGCATCATGGAAGCCTTACAATCAATTGTGAGATTAAGGAATCATAAAACCGTGGATCTTAGTGTCCTGTGGACCTCGACCTCTATGTTCAGACACCTGTAGACCTGGAATCGTACCACTCAATTTTGTTTATGTTCGAGAAACTTGTGAAATCGTCTGTTTTAAAGCTGCAGAAATCTGAACTTCCTGCGTCTATCAATTTGGAATCACCCGGTAGAAAGGGGATTGGTAAGTTTGTAAGACTTTGAAGAATCAGTGTAAAACATGTTGATCGTCCTACTCGAAACAAGCCATCGCATACGTATGTATCTGTATGTATGTACAATATACATATATCTATGATACATAGTTATAGGGAATGCCGTCTGCCATTTAAAGATCATGAATTTTGCATCAACCTGTACAAGGCACTTCGGTAATATCGCGACGTGCCAACGAAACGTTAGCATTTCGTTGATCGCGTTCGTAGCTCGGCCTCTTCAGTCGGCCCTGACATAACGACTCAGCCGAGATACCTGTGCACTGCGGGCCTATTCTATAGGCGGCGACCTTGTAATTTAAGGTTGAAGGTGGGCTGCGGCACACGGCCGCTCGATAAAACACCGGCAGTGATAGAAGTAGAGCCAAACGGAAAGGAATCGCGCACGGAACTACTCCGGATTTACGCGACCTGGTCGACTGGCTCTGTCTCTTCCCTCTCGACCTGTTTCCGTTCTCTGTTTCGCGAAATTCTTCCGTAAAAATTCTTCTTGATTATCTCCATCGATAGATTATACATACACACTCTGAGAAACAATGAGAATAATAGAAAAAGAAAGATCATAGACAAACCGAAATGTTTATCTTTAGTAATTAATCCCTACTGATAAATGCGCTTTATTAACATTTATAATTCTTGCTTTGTTTATTACTATATTCAACAACATATGTATAATACATATGTATAAACATCGAAAAATTATAAATTTCCACAGAAATGAATTTAAAAACATTATTTATGCCAGTGGTATGAAGTGTTTGATTGTGAATTTTACATTTTTTACAAGATATTCGTTATTTAGTCAGTTGTTCGGGATAAGAGATTTTTAGGCGACGTTTTTTTGTGCGACATGCCGCCAAAAATTCAACTGATTTTTATTCCACGGATATACGGTTCAACACTGTAATCGCTGGGAACGCGACAACCCTCGTACAACACCAAAGACGATCTACCATCTCCGTTTGATCTCTCGTCCAAACATCTCTAGCGCGGGCTCTTCGAAAGACGATTTCAATCCGGAAGCACAATAAACGGCGGCCGTTCCCCTATTCCTGTTCTCGTGAACTTGATACGCGTATCACAGGGGTGAGCAAAAACAAACTGCACCTAACCCAGCCAACCATCCTAACCTAACCTACCCCCAACCCCACCCCCAAAAATGTTCCGATCCCGTACTTACCCCATTTCCGCCCCTTCCGGCCCCGTATAAACGACGGTTTTCAACGCGAGACACCCCTCCTTCTTCGGTCGGTCTTCCATGGCGCCGATTCGAGAACAGCGAACTGGGGGCGAGGGGGGGGGGGGGGATATCGTAATTTCCTGGAAACGCGACGAGGAACGATACCAATGAATAACGCCTGAACGAGGAATTTATTATATGTATAGGGGTGCATCATCGAAAAGGGAGGTCGGTGACATGACGGGTTCAGCTTTTGCAGCGATGATTCGACGAGAGAAGAATGGGAATGGTTGATGGTAGTAGTGAAATTGATTTTTTATTATTAGATGTTTTGGTAGGTTGAGCGGATCATCGATGACCCTGTGCAATCTTTTATATGGGGCTGTTGGACTGAACGATCGACGATACGTATATTTGTATAGCTATTTGAAATTCTGAACTGTGATTGAAAGATTCTGCTTCGAAACCCGAAAATTTGTCAACTTCTGGGACACTGAAAGCTTGAAATCCTGTAGAAATTGGAAGTTATTAGTGTTCTGAATCCTGTAAGTTACGAATTCGTAGTGTCCTGAAGATAAATAAATTGGTATCTTGCAGATTCTGAACATTCGTCGAAGCTCTGTGGTCTGTCGGTGTATTGAATTCTAAGAGTTCTAGATTCTACGAGTTCTGAATTCTGTAATAATTCTGTAATAGTTCCAGAGACTCGAACCTTCGAAGTTTCATGTAATATTGAAGTATCTTTCGAAAAGCCCTACGCGTTCTACACACCTAGGGTATCATTCCGTTAATATGTATGAATTCCTCGGAATTTTTATTACGAAAGAAGGGACACTGGAAAGCCGAAGTATATTTGTTTTAGGCAAAGTGAGCTTTCATTATGCAGAAGGTCTCGATTCACCCTATACTCAGGAACCGTGGGCTTTCCTCGGGCCTGTACAAACACCGACGGCTCACCCTTC